GCTCTCACTTTAACTCATAAACACTCATCAGTAGTTATCAGGACCTGATCAGTACATGAAGTAACTCAGTGTTTGTTTGATTCCAGAGTTCATGAGACTCATTTAAACATCATGAAAAATTACTTMTCAACATGTTGTGCTCAGTACAACATGAGAATCAGAATCAGAATAAGAATCACTTTTATTGCCAGGTATGTGAACACAAACGAAGACTTTTTCTTTAGTAGTTGAAAAAACCAACAAACATAGAGACATGACGCATAGTCAGGACTCAGTGTTAAATTGACAGGAGCGGCACACAGACATGATCCCACACCTTCGATTAATAACTAAACACATGATCGTAAGTTTGTTTCTCAATCATCCCAATAAAAAATGAACTATGAACGTGAACTAGGTCAATTCATGTGCATGAACTGAACTTTGAACTCGTTCTTTTTGAGTGAGAACTTACACAACACTGCAAACAGTTAATAGTTAACAAATGATCCCATGAGGGAGTTAATGTCAAACACTTTATAAGTGTTGAGTAAAACTAACTCTGGTTAAAGTGAAGTGTTAAATTTTACCTCCAAAAAGAGTCAATAATTACACTTAATAAGTGTTATTAGTAACTCTACAAGACTAAAATTTTGCTGTGTGGACCCATATAGACACTTCACAAGAGTTGAAATCAAATCTSACAGAGTTAATTTGGGTATGCTGATTTGGTGCAGCCGCCAGAGGCAGGGTGTAACATTTTCATGTTTACAATACAACACCAGCGTCAGCTCTTATTGSCAAAAAACTCTCTTGACATCTTCGTTGGTGTGTATTTGTTTACTGTCGTCATCTATTAAACCATTCAGTCACAGTGAATCCTGTCGTGTTGTCACATCGGCTCCTTTGGACTTTCTGCAAACTTTATAGAAAGTCCACAGAAAGCCTGGAGGCTCCCATTCAGACATTTGCATTCACACAGACCCTCCGGAGAATGTCCGAAGGATCTCTGGAGTTCAGTGCATGTCTGAAAGCAGTTTAACTCTGTTTGTGTTGTGCAAAGCAGGGAAAGACTTTGGATTTGCAGTGGATTACTGTAAACAGGCAGCACCTCTTTGACAGCATTTTGAGTCAGTAACCCATGAGTAACATTTATGTGATACATTTTATAACATATCACAAAACTTACCACTGTATTCATTACCCTAAGACCATACAGCTTCAGCAGTGTCTGCTCAAATGTTACTGTAAGACCTTAAAATAGTGATCATACAAAGCCATGGAGGACGTGTGTGTTACACAAAAACAGGCAAAATGATATCTGAGCAGATATGACACCTTCCCAGATAAAATATGGAGTGGGAGACAATGCACAAAGATGAAACTCACTCAGGCATGACAAACAGCAAAATGCAACGTCAGGTAGAAAGCAGAAGAACTAAGAGGCATACACTTCCTCCTAACTCCCTTACTTCACCAACCAGCAGACAATGAAACAAAAAGAAGACAGACAGAAATGRAGTGTAGTGTGTGAGCAGTTTCTTTCTTACTGTAGAACAGTTGATTCCCAGTTTGTTGAGTGACTCCAGAACTACCCTTTTCCTCCTGTCAACATAGTCCTGCTCACCAGCACACAGGGAGTGGGAGTGATGGATGTGTTCCTGGGGGGGAATAAGATCAACCAATTTATACAGCACACTGAATGGAACCTGTGATTGTATATTCTTCAAATATCAATTTAAAAGCTGAATTTAAATTTGGGACTCCAGCCCCCTTGCAACCCTCAAATAAGGCTCAAATAGGACTACTCAACTAGTTGACTATCAAAACCACTTGTCAACATTGTCCATCGTTGTAGAGTAGTCGTTGGTCTGTGGGTTTAACACAGTGCAGTGGCATCTACAGCAGATGTGCAACAGGGGGCGCTGTTATTATTGACAAGCAGTTGTCTAAAGCAGCAGTATGACCAAATTCAGGTGCTCGGCTAAAATCATCAATATTTTACCAGAGCAGATAAAAGTGTCAGCTGCTACATGTACGATTGCCCTAAAGTACAACAACTATACCAACGCTATGCACAACTATCTAAAGCTAAACCCGCTTGCTGCTAACGCTAGCAGCAGCAAAGTTAGCGAGAAGCGCCAACAGAGTGGACAAGGACGGCAGACGATAATGAAATAATTCTCTGAACGTCTGATCACTGACAACCAAACGTTCTATCTCTCTCATGTACATTGATATGGGTGGAACAAAATATGTCTTACACATTGAAATAACTAGTTGACCTTTTTTATAGGGAATAGTGGACTACTAAGATACAGTAGTTGTGAATTCCCGACCCTCAACAGATAAGTGGAATAGATAATGGATGGATGGATTACAATTTGAAATTTGCTCCAATAACACACTATACATATTGCAGTGTATTTCTTAAACACTGCAATAAACAGCTGCTGAGAGATGATATCATATAAAGTATTATAATACAGCCTGTGTTTTATCAATTGATAATTTTCTTTTTTATTAATTTTCAACAATTTTCACATTACAAAAACACTCTAAAATCTCTTGTTGCCATCACGGTCAATAAAAGTGTATGGTTCAGTGCCCAGCAGCATGAAAGATTATCCTTTGTTTTGTTTTTTRAATATCATACCATACAGACAAATACAGATCAGAGTAACAGCACCTCAACAGTGAATTATTCTAATAATCATGCTTCTAATATGCATCTTCAATCCTGCTGCTTCTTACCTCCATGTTGTCCGTTGCTTCCACCAGAGCTCCTGAAATCACAAAACACAGGCAAATCAATGAGACAGATAAGTTTAGCATTCAAGTCTGCATGTCTGCGTATGAAAACAACCTTCTCGGCAAAATTAAGTTCTGGTCCGAATCCTCGTCGGAGTGAAAGTTGTGCCTAAACTCCTCTGCTGTTTTATTTGTCTYATCAGAAGAGGCAGGTGTTTTTTCTCCTTTTAAGCAACTGCTTCGGTTACAGACAACACACAGAAAAAGGGAGGGAGAGAGAGAGAGGTAGGGAGTCAACCTGGGACAGGTGCCAACAACAAAAGGTGCTCAGATATTACTACAGTCATGACAAACACACACCCACACATTTAACAGACCGTAAAGGTGCATGGTTTTGGTCTGTGTTGGTACAAGTACTGAGATTCTTCTGTAAAAATACTGATTCAAAAATATAGAAGTACCCTGTTACAAGTAAAAAACCTTGCATTCCTGTTTCCTCTTGATTGAAACTGGAATAAAAATTGAGAGTTGCTATAAAAAAGAGTCAAGCTTGATTGTCATCTGAATGGAATGTGTTACGACCCTTCTGATGGTATAGTGTCTAGGGATATTCGAAGGGCCTAACACTGCGCAGAGCAGGGTGTGTGGTGTGGGAACACAAGTAAACGAACCAAGGTTCGGGTAAAAGGAACAATAATTTACTATACAAAATTTCGCCACAGGGAACAAGGTAACTATTAGTAGTGCCCAAGCAAAGGAATCATAAATTAAAACGTGCAGTCCTAATCTAGTGCAGCAACACTCTATGCTATCACAGAAACAGAATCCTAAGCTACTCTACACATAATAAATACATGGTGTGGCTCCTACTCCGTACCTAGGGAATTGTAACAGGTGTAAGGCTACTTGGTGGAAATGTAAACCCATGGGTGTCTTCTATTTTACCGATCCATTTTGCTTGATGGACTGGTGTCACTGCTCAATGATCCTAATTCTCAGTGCCTCGTGTGTATTCTTTGAGATACTGGTGCTTCCCAATCTCTTGTCCTGGCGGATGTGCTACCCTGGTCAGCCGAATCCTCATGTAGATCGAGTGTGTTGATTCATGGAATAGAAATGGGATGTGTACCAGTGCCATTGCACAATATATACTTGAGTTGTGGATTAGCAAGTGGTGTGTTTAGAGTAGGTGTACAACCTTCCCTACCAGTTTATATTGGGGAATGATCTGGCAGGAGGTAAAGTGTTGCCTACCCTAGAGCTGGTGGAGAACCCAGAGACTCAATCCGATGACTTGGGCTGGAGTTTCCCTGAGGTTTTCCCAGCCTGTGCAGTCACACGTGCTCAGTCAAGAAAGCTGGGTGATGTTGTTGACCTGGCTGCCTCTTTCTTAGCCCCAGTATTTGCCACAGATCAATCAGAAACATCAAAGCTAGTTGATGAGAAGGTTGCTTGTGTCAGGGAGTGCCCTGAAAACACGGGTGCTGCATTAAGTAAGGGTGCTCTGGGCACATCTGTCACACATGATCAGCTACTGGCTTCACAGAAAGTGGATGCTACCCTTAAGAACAGTTTTTTTGCTGTTACTCCAGTGGGAGTTGATAAAGAAAACATTGTCTACTATATGGAAAGAGACCTTCTGATGCGTAAGTAGACTTCTCACCTTCGTTACGGACGAAAATGGAGAGTGGTACGTCAAACAGCAGGATTTGTCCCTTGCTCATGACTACTTGTGGTCTGGCCATTTAGGTATCAGAGGGGGGCACTGTCAAGTGATGAGCAGGTAGGACGCACTCTTCAGTGGTTCTCACATTATTGGACGAAATTCTTAGAAAAGTCATAGCACACCATTCGACGTAATTCCGCATCGTATTTTATAGGTCTCGAGTATGTGCAATGAAATCTGTGGGAGGAGTAGAGGGACAAAGTTTTAGGAAGAAGAACTAAGAAAAACTAGAAAATCTCTCCTGCCGAGACATTTTGAATGGGTGCCTTGTGCTCGTC